GATAATTGTCAAGTTCAGACAAGCTGCCCAGCTTTCTGCAGAAGCTGGCTTGAAGCACTCGGTCACAAAACAGTTAAGGGTGGAAGGGGCCTCTGGAAGTCAGGTAGTAGGGTCAACCAGCACAGACTGCTCACGGCCACATCCACTCAGGTTTTGAGTGTCTCCAAGGAAAGACACTCCACTGTTTATGCAGGCAACCTGTTCTAGCCTCACCATATAAAATTGTTGGGGTTTTTTTTTTGTCTCTAATGCTTAGAGCGGGGCCTCCTGTATTTCATTTTCTGCATATCTCTCATCTTGTCCTTAAGTGCCATTGACAAAAATCTGGCCTCAACCTCTTTATTCACAGAATGGTTGAGGTTGGAAGAGAGCTCTGAAGGTCATCTTGTCCAACCTGCCCTGCTCGAGCAGGGCCACCATACCCAGATTGCTTTTGAGTCTGTCCAAGGATGGAGGCTCCACAACCTTCCTGGGCAACCCATGCCAGTGCTCAGTGACCCTCATAGGAAAAAAAAAAAAAAAACCCACAAAAAAAAACCCCAAAAAAACACCCACCAAACAAAAAACAAACAAGAAAAGTGTTTCCTGATGTTCAGACAGACCCTTCCTGTGTTTTAATTTATGCCCATCGCATCCTGTGCTGTCACTGAACACCACTTAGGAGAGCCTGGCTCATCTTCTATGCACCCTCCTTTCAGGTATTTTATACACATTAATAAGATCCTCCACAAGTCTTCTCTTCTTGAGGCTAAACAGTCGCAGCCCTCTTCTCATATGACAGATGCTCCAATCCCTTCATCTCTGTGGCTCTTCACCAGACTCACTTCAGTATGTCCACGTCTCTTGCCCTGGAGAGCCCTGAACTAGACACAGCACTCCAGCTGTGGCCTCACTAGTGCTCAGCAGATGGGAAAGACCACAGTAAAACTGTTGGCAAAGCTCTGTTGGCCTTTGTTACTGCAAGGGTACATCACTGGCTCTTGGTCAACTTGTTGTCCATGTCCTTTTCTGCAAAGCTTCTTTCCAGACAGTCAGCTCCCAAGATGTTGTTATTATGGGGTTACCCTTCCCCAGGTGCAGGATGTTGCATTTCTCTCTGTTGAGCTACATGAGGTCTCTGCCTGCCCGTTTCTCCAACTCGTCAAGATCCCTCTGAATTGCAGGACACTTATCTGGTATATCAACAACTCCCAACTTCATATGATCTACAAGAAAAGCTGATGGTGCCACACTGCCCCACTGTTGAAACCATTAATGAATATGATAACCAGCATCAGCCCCAGTATCGATCCCTGGGGTACATTGCTAGTGGCTGGCCTTTACCTAGATTTCATGCCGCTGATCACAGCATGAGCCTAGAAGTTCAGCCGGCTGTCAATACACCTCTCGCAGTCTGCTTATCTAGTCTGCAATTCATCAGCTTGTCTGTGAGGAAGTTATGGGAGATTGTATCCAAAAACCTTGATAAAGAGAAGATAAACAACATCCACTGCTCTCCCCTCATCCACTGAGCCAATCATCTCATCATAGAAGTCTATTAGATTGGTCAGGCATGATTTCACTCAAACAACCCCTGATACCTGCAGGGCTGTGATCCAGAATTTAAGAGCTGCAATATAACGGTGGAGGCAGGAGAATAAGGGAAAGAAAAGATATGTCTTCAGTTGGTGCAGTGGTTCAGCTTAATCTGTCTAAAGTTCCAGTTTTTCCTCTCTGTGTAAATGAGGCAAAGAGCCCACATCTTGTAGAAAACTAATTTCAGATCCATGCTTAAATGTATGACAGTGTCCAGCATTATTAATTCTCCAACTACAATCTTCACATCAGCCGATTTCCTCCGACACAATCCACTGCCCACTCCCATACATGCTGCACTCCAAGCCCCTGGGGACTTTCTCCAAAGAGAGCTGCACATCCAAACCAAGACTCAAACCATTTAAGTGTCAAAGTGGAAAAACTCGTGCCTTCCTTAAGCATATCAGGGTTAACCTCCTCTCCTATCCCTCCCACAGCGGAAGGCAATTTTAAATTGGCATGTCAAGTCAGCCTGTGGGGAGATTTCCACCTTGTTTATCCACACCTGCCTTCCAGCAGATGAGCCACCAAAATTCCACGCCTGGCACACAGTAATTGAAGCAATAAAAAAAAACCAAAGCAAAGCCTGGGATCTCACAGGCCCTTCAAGGGGAGTAATAATACAAAAATAAAAGCCTGCCTGCTTTACACTCTCTCCCAAGCCACCTCCTCCTACCTAAGATGTAATTTTAGTACACTGCTTCCTTTGCTCCATCCTGGAAAGCAGAGTCAGAGAGGAGACAGCACTGGATGCCCACGCTGGAGAGCATCAGCCCTTGTCAAGATGCATCAAGCAGCCAACTCTCATTTCTATTGGCAGGGGCTTGGGGAATTCCTGTGCCTACGGGAATTGCACAAACATTCAATCTGCCATCTCTTGAAAGCACAGCAGCGACAGGGCTGAGACAAGAGGTAAGCAAGGGCTGGGCTTCCTTGATGTAGAGGGGGAAGGAAAACAGCGTACAGTCGCTTCTTACACAAGCAGCTTCACAGAATCTACACTCTAAAGCCCTCTCCAAAAGGTGCACAAAACATAGGGTCACAAACTCTACAGCCGTTCTTTTACTGCACTTGGATTCAGTTGCAACAGTGACAGAAAGAGCAGCTTTTCCTCCTTCCTATCAAATGGAGCACACCTTACGCTGGGAAGGCTCCATTCCACTCCCCCGACCCCAGTCACGCCCCTCAATTCTACTCCTCAGTACCACAACATGCTGATCAGATCCCTCAGTCTCACGATGGTTTGGATAATGGGCTTAAAATGGATTTTGTTTCATGACATGGTGTGGCATGGGACTAACGTCTATTGACTGAGTCACTGCAGAATTTGTGAGCTGGTAGAAACAGGCTCATAGTTAAAGCCCTAGGCTGGGCATCAGAATGCATCTTCTCCTCCCAGCATCAGCACAGCCACCTTGGGACTTTGGGCAGGTCACTTCCCCTGCGTGCTGAAGCTTCCTACCGTCTCATCTGCAGAGCTGGAATACATCTCCTGCCTGAAGACAGCTTGTGTGGACACACTAAGGGTTGTAACAGTGTTCAGATACCTCTAACAGATTGGAGAGGGGAGTTGGAAAGAGGTGGAATTATAAAGGGAATAGCCCTGAACACTCTTGGGAAGTCCACAGAATATCCCTTGCAGGAGATAGGCAGGAAGAAGGGAAAGGCTGACAGCTGCAGGGAGATACAGGAGTTTAACATCACGTCAGTCACCTTCGGTTACAGGAGTTAAAGCAAAATAATTGTTAAAGTAATGTGAAAGAGCATGCAAGTAACACACATGCACACATTTACCCAGCCCCCATCTCCCCCTTGTCACCAACACCTGGACAAGCTAAGCTGAGTAGTGCCTCACAAACAAACACAGCAGGATCGGATGTGGTCAGGGGCTTGTGGAAGCTGGGAGGAAGCTCAGCGTGCGGTGTGGTAACGTCTGGCTGGGGCCCGACACACGGATTACAGCCGAGGTGTTGGGGCCAGAATGCAAAGAAATGAGGAAAACCTGCACAGGGTCTGACATCCTTTGCTTCTGTGGCTGGAAGACATTCAAGACATGTGAGAAAAGGCAAAGGGAGGCTTTGTGGCTGGGGGGGGGGGGGCGGCGGGGGGGAAGGTCCCCACGGGAAAAGAGTCTTTATGTCTCAGAGCACTAAAAAGTAAAAAGCAGAGAAACCATCCTCACCCCAAGCTCTACTACCCCAGAGTGGAGATGCCTCTATCGCTAAATCTGGTTGGCAGAATTTCAAATATGCATGAACAAGAGGAAGGAAGCAGGCGAATGGCAAAGCCACACAGGCCAGGGCCAAGGAGCGGCGGAGGCGGCGGGAGAGCAGGAGGAGATTTATAAACATCGCTGCCTTCCACAGGCACAGAGGATGTGGTTTGCAAAGGACGTTTACAACAACACAAAACCACAAAATCCTTTGCTTCAACAGAACTTGATTAGGAATGAGCCTGGCTGACTCAGGTCATTTATTATAGAAATCTCCCTCCCACCTCCTCTTCAGTGTCCAGCCACACGCTGACCTACTGGGGCTTCTGCATTCCTCACCCAGCCTCGCTCACGCTTCTTCAGAGAAATTTGGCTGCATCGCTTCTGCACTACCTTTGCACAGCAGCACGGCTAGAAACACCTATGTGGAGAGGTGTCACACATCTGCTATGTGGGAAAGCTGGATGGTCTCTTAGCACCAGTATTTCACTAAACATACTGCATTTTGCCAAGCTGCATTCATGGAGATTTTTATCCTAAATAAATTCTTAATTCTTGAAGGGCTTTTTCCTTCCATTTCTCTTTGTCTGCAGTTAGGAGAAATTCTTCCTTTTCTAAGATGTGAACACATCAGCAGGATCAAGTAACAACAGTTTGGGGAGTTATTGCAACCAGTTGAGCCTCTGAATCTCTTCTTTAGCAAACCTTTTGCTTATTCCAGCAGCATTAGTTAAACCACCTAGGAATGTATTTCTGCACCCAGCTGATCTCGGATACTCTCTGCTCACAGGCGGAGTTTAATCCTATTTGCTAACCAAACAATACATTCTGTCTGATGGTATTTGCCAGGGATTTTAGGAAGTAAGCAAATTGGGCGATCTGGGGAGCTGCTGGTGAATATAGTAAGCAAGTGTGCTTATTAGGTAGCAGGCATCAGCCATTGCTATGTCAGCAGGAGCCAACTAACCTCCAGGATAAATGGCAACACTGGGATGAAGGTCCTGGTGTTCTCAGACAACAGTGTAAGTGCACGGATGCAGTGCATACGCAGAGGGTAGAAACGAGACGTTGGTACCAGCCTAGAAAGGAAAAAATAAGAAAGGGCATTAGGCCAAGTTTATACAGGAACCTCACCTGCAGCCTTCAGTGACACCTGAAAGCCTTTCCTACCCTGCAAAAGACAGAGAGCTTTAGTATTGCACAGCAAACTGCTTGGGCTGCTGAAGCTATCCCATAGTTGGAAATAAAATTCACACATGTTAAAGCTGTAATACTAACACCCAAATTCTTGAAACCAAGCACTAGGTTTCCAGCTTCTGCTGGGAGAAAGCGCGACAAGAACTTTCTAGGTGAAGGTGTTTAGTCACGTTCAACACTTTTGGCTCTCATGCCCCCAGCACAGTCAGGTATGCAAGAAAGTGGCAGGAACCATCTAAAGCAGCAAGTTTGACCAAGAAAAGGGCGCCCCCAGCATACCAGAGGGATTACAAGGAGGAAGATGTTTCCCATTTCCCACTACATACCCTCTGTGTACCCACAGAGTTCATGCTGTCACCCAAACAGTCACCCTCTTAGTGGGGAATGTCACTGAAGCAGAAGAAGCTGGACTAGCAGTGACCAGCATATCAGAAAGGACAGAGTGAGAGTGACCTCTCACAGCCAAATCTGTTCAGCCATCTCCAATCCAGAGGAGCACCCGAGTTATTCCTTTCTCCTTCAGAGAGACAACACGTACATTTGAACAGCCGGTCATCAGCATGGAGAGGAAGAGGCCAGATTTTCTGACACACACTTTAAACCATTACACACTCGGGTATTAAGAAAGAAGTAGAGCCAACTCCTTTTGTAAGGTTGGGACTGAGAAGGGTCAGCTCCCCCAGCACCACGTAAGCCAGCAGCAGAGGGGAGAATGCAGAGCTATCCCTAAAAGACACCAGACCACATTACTGTACCACTCCCGAAACCTCTCACTCCGAATGACCCATACTTGAATACATGGATGCCTCCAGCATTAACAAGTGGGTTTTAATTTTTTTTTTTTTTTTTTAAAGCACAGTTCCCAGACAACAGGCTCAAGTCTGATAAATGAATCCCTCCCCTCCCCAAACAGCTTGTTGAGCAATCCAGGAGAGAAAAAAAAAAAAAAAAAAAAAAAAGCTTGACCAGGCACCATAAATCACCTGCATCTCCCCCCCTCCAAATAGTGAAATAATTATCATTGGATCCATTATAGAAATAAATCTACTTTGCACCCCTGATCTGGCACCACTGGAGATGACGAAAGCCATTCTCAGGAATTAATTGATCGAGGAATAAACCTGTTAAGTGTATAGATTTACTGTAAACCAAGACCATTAATTTTAAAGTGCGCGGCGATGCAACGATCTGCTCAACTTCCCGATGGCTGGATGCACAGGGAATACAAAACACAGCTGGGTCCCAGCTCTGCTGAGGAAGGTCCAACTGCCTAGGCACTCCAGGGCGTTCAAACTGACTGACGTTTCATCTCAGCAGAGTGTGCTCTTTAATGTCTTACCATCACTGTCTCTTGGAATGCCTGCTGTACTTCTCCCACGCAGCCAGGGCATGGGCTGTGGTGTAGAGAACAGCCTAAAGGCTTCTCAAGGCTTATTTTTACTCACTACAGCTCCTTCAGTTATACTCCTGGGTAACCACAACCTTCCTCTGGCTAGAAAAGACAGAGAAAGCTTCTTTCATCATCAGCCTCCACCTCACCAGGACAGGTCACCAGGGGAAGTTGCTCAGGGACACCAAGGCTGAGCTTGCTTCTCCATGGAAGAGGCTGTAACTGCTTTCTCCCCTGTATGTGCTGGGAGGCCAGAAACTAAAACTTAACAGGCACCAGAAATCCTCATTTAACTATAAGCTGGGGAGTAACTTCATTTTTATAGCTTAGACTGGGAGCAAGGTAAAAATCCAAGCAGATATGGTCAGAAAAACACTTTATAGGATGAGGGGAAAAGGGATAACAGAACCGGAGTTTCTGTAAGAAAAAAAAGCCAACCCCAAACCCATGAACTCTGACAAATGCAAGCACACAGATCAAAAGGAAGAACTTATGGACTGTGGAGGCAAAGCACAGAGAAAGGAAGGGGGAAATAATCTCCATGTTCTACATCTCTGCAATACCTACAACGCTGCCCCACTGGTCAAACTAACTGCAACCTGTCAGCTGTTCGCAAGAACAGCATCACTCATTATTACATGGCAAACTCAGCAATGAGGCTCTTCCCACCATCACAAAAGTCAGAAACCACCAATTCCAGCACCTCCCTATTCAGCAGTCCAACTTCCCTGGACCACATCTTCAGCACAGGTAACTTCCAGACACATGGGGTCACTTCTGAAAGATGCATTATTAAAAATAGTTTCAACGCATTTTATATGTTGGAAAGCAGGAAGAGGGAGCAAGAAAATGAGGGAGCTAATTTTTATTTTAGCAGGCAACCCTCTTCTACTAGTTATCTTATTTAATCATTCAAATTCTGCCCTGGTCCCTGTCTAGAACCTAAAGTCCGTGATGGATGGCAGTTTCTCCCTACTCCCCTCACGTAAGAGCCCAAGGTGGCATAAGGAGCTGATCAGGTCAGACAGACAGACACCCTTTTGCTGGAGCCAGGCGCCACCTCCCGGTACGAAAGGCACTGGAGAAGTGGAGCCTCCTCCCAGCACTACCACCCTCTGGGTGGACCCCAGAGCACCAGACCACATCAGGAGCAGAAATGAAAGAAGCTATTCCAGATGTCAGGTATTCCAGACATTACATAGCAGCCTTCCTCACTACCTGATCACATCCACACACCTCAAAGCTGAGCAGCCTGGAGAAACAGAGAGGGGTCCAGCTCATTCACGCCATCTCCACAAGAGTCTGCTCACGGCAGATACTAAGCAGCCCCCAGGCAGATGAATATGCCTAAATGGACCTTCCAGAAAGGCATGAAGTCGTACATGAAGCAAAAAAACCCCTTGACCTGCAGGCTAGATTAGTTTATCATCTCACAGAAACAACCCGAGCTCCTCTGTTGCACTCAGTTGCTCCAGACTTATCTACACCAGGGAACGTGGCACAGAGACTGACTCTTGATAGTCTTGGTTTGGACAGAACTGACACTGCGAAGAGGTTGTCTACACTCAGGAAGGAGCCCTAGGGTCCTGGGTACAGACTGAAGCCCATGGAGCCGCATCATTCCCACATCTGCTAACCTACCTACCCACCCCCTGTTTATATATCTTGGACACTGTCTCAGCTCAGTAAGGAATCTAGGGTGGGATTTATCTCTGTTTTCCCCACCTTAGAACCCATCCGTTGGGTTCCCAAATCTTTGAAGCCTTGTCAAGACAGTAACTGTACTTCATGCCAAGCAGCCCTGTCCATCACAGACACTAACAAATTCTGCTTGCTGCTCTGGCTGAGTCTCACCAGATTCACCTTCCCTTGGCCCCAGATAGCTGATTTATCTGCCTGGACAGGTAGAAAAGTGCCTAGATTAGTCCGCAGGACAAATAAAGCTCTACAACAGCAGTGGGAACCAGCCTGTGCATATGGGGGATGGGAAGAGGGATGTATGCATACTCTAATGATCGTTTAAATCTGCTTATCTTCATCACCACTTGGGAGTTTTTCAAGACCAGGCGGGTGGTGTTTTAAAGCTGAGAATCTGGTTAACAGAGCTAAAAGGATTTCAGAGATCACAAGAGATTCAGAAATCCCCTCAACGCTCGTTATTAACAGCCATTTCAAAGCACAAAAATTTCATATATAAACATATAAACTGATGGGAAAGAGAAAGAAATTCTCAGCAGACACATTAAAAACAATAAATGTGTCCTAGTTCTTCAAATTCTAACAAATATGCACAAAAAAATGCATCTTCTAACTTTATTTACCAAGCTAGAGATGAGAACTTCATTCTATACTTTGGCACTGTTAGGTCTTGAGGCAAGTCAGTACATTTTTCCTTGCCACTTTGTACAATTGGGAGAATAATCCACTCAGACTATTCAGATTGCAACTTCTACAGAGCAGAGAGCCATCATCTGCCCCACACAGTACCTCAAAACAGAGCCTTACTGCTGCAGCACTACTGCACGATGTACAATTACTGGCTGGTATTAAGAGTTCGTCTCCAATTGCACACACACTAACACACACCACTGGGATTCCATAATAACCACTGGGAGAGATTCCACCGTGATTCAATTCCACTAATGGAACTAATAGAGTTCAGCAAGCTTAAACGCAGACCTTAAAACCAGACTATACCTGGCCAATACTCTGGGAGTAAGGGAAAAAAAAAAAAAAAAAAAAAAAAGAAAACCCCAAACCAAACAAAAAACCCCAACAACCCACAAATGAGGATAGCTTTCATGCTGCCAAAGATACCTGAGCAGGCTTTCCTACTGGTGTGTATATTTAAGAGAAAATAATTTTAAAAAGTCTAAACACACTTAAGATTCCAAAACCAAGTCCCTCCCAACTCCTCCCCCTTTTTTTTTTCCAAATAGCTCAGCTCGGAGACAGTCAGACTGCTACACATGGCATGCTTGCACTTGAACAGTTCTCCATGGAAATATCCTGACAGCTATAACCTCTTGGAAAGAACACTCAGCAACATAGAAATATTACTGCTGCAACTGCTCTACACGTGACAAAATGTTCTGATGGACGTTAAAAAGCTAAGCTGACCCACTTGGGCTGGTTATGACAAAATGTTCTGATGTTAAAAAGCTAAGCTGACCCACTTGGGCTGGTTCTTCATATGAATGCTTGGAGAGTACTCAGTTATTTTAAGCTTTCCTTCAGAAAAAAAGGACACTATCTAGAATGTCTTCATGGAGATACAGTTCTCCAGCTATAGAGAATAGCAATAGAGCTATTGTACTTTTTAGCACCAAAGTTACCTGCATTGCTTTGGGTCTCCCCACCTTCCCACTAGAAGACAGCAAAAAGTGTTTATATTATTCAGAGGTGTGCCCAGACCACACAAATGCTGCAAATATTCTCAAGTGTAAAGGAAGAGGAATTTCACAGTATTTTCTGTTCTCGCTGCTGGGCACCACTACTTTTCTGTACTTAGCTACTTTTCAGATTAGCCCAGAAAAGGCTGCAGTTTGACACTGGGTCACAGACCGATTGGTCCTCCTTCAATATGGGAGCTCATGGAAAGACTTGAAAAGAACGCCAAAACAGGTAGAACTGTTCCTTATACAGAGAATTTAGTTGTGGTGTAGGTTATTCTTCCCTAGGCTTTCTCACCACCTAAATGCTCACAACGCATCTTCAGCTGGAATACTTCACTCAATAGCAGCTCTCAGGCAATTCCTTACAATGCAAGGTTAAATCCAAATCACACAACAGTAACACCCCTTGGTAACTTGCTCTGCTACATAAAGCAAGAGGAAGAAATATAGCCAAAAGAAGAAAAAAATCCTACTTACTTTATACAGCCAATGATGACCTGCGTCAAAGGATAGATCAATGGCTCCATGACCTCACTGGGATAGATGGTGCTGAGAACCCGACACCAGAAATACAGGCAGTGGATGTACTGCCAGTTATAAACAGACTGGAAGTTCTCCTGCAGAAAAAGGGAAAAAACCATAGGCACAAACCTGAAAATGTGCTATTTGAGAGGAGCTCACTCTGGTTTCTCTACAGGAGTCATTTTATCCAGTATTCTCTAAGGGGACATTGTGTACTGTTCAGAAAGGAATAACCAACATTTGAGCTGTCGCTTTGATGCTAGTGGCTGACCCACCATCCAAGCAAGTTCAGACGCTGCATTGGCAAAATTATGATTTGGTACTAGTTAGTGCCTTGAAGGAAATAATGAGCAACACACAGATTGCTTTTCTTCACAAGTATGGCTCATTTGAGAAGGATGATTTAATAGCCCAGCTCACAGCAGATGGTGGGATGTGGCCAAGCATTAGGAAACCTTTAACTGTTCCATTTACCAGGGACAGTCCCTGGTTTCCCACAGGTAGGAAGGCTGGAAAGTAGTACCCCCTCTGATGCCCTTGTGAATTGCCTTCTGGCCTCTGCAGGCCAGAGAGGGGGAGGAAAAAGATGTGTAAAGCTACACTACAGATCCAAGCTAGCAAGAAATTCAGCTGAATTTATCTGGATTTCCCCTCTCTGCGTTCAAACTCATTTGGTTGTTATGTAGCAGCTTGTCCTTCCCACTTGAGGCTTCCCTTCCCTCAGCTGTATTAATCAAAACCCCCCTAACCACCACCCCACTAACTCTAAAAGACAGTACCAGTGCTCATTTTAAAGATGTTCCTATGAACAGTCACTGTCAAAGCAAGGACCAAATATCAACCCAGCACTTCCCCCTGATTTTGGAAAAGATACTACCCAGGACATTTTCATTCTTTTTTTTCACTTGCAGAGTAAAAGTGACAGACAGCAGAGCTGAGAACAAACTTTCAGCTGTTTCTCAGTTAGTCTTTATGGTTACCAGCAAAAACAATGCAGTAGGCCAGCAGCGTGCCTGACATGCAACAATGCATGAACCAGCATTTCAGGCTGGCTCAGTAGTATGGTAAGTGTGGGTCAAGTCTTGCACCAATCCAAGAGACATTGTTTTCAAGAAAGCTTGGGCAAGTCCCCCCCATCTCCCTGCCATGTGCTTAAGGCAGCCCATAGTGTCCAGTTAAATAAAAGCCCAGAAGAGCGCAGAGTCCCACTTAAGGACACCCTTTCCAGAGGGTTCTGTAGGCCCACGTATTCCCCAGATTGCACCAAGAACTTATGAGATTGCACTTAACAAGGTGCCTCAGCTCCAACTTGTGCTTCAGACAGACTTTCAAGGCCCAGGTCACCTCTTCTTTTGCATGGATGAAGCAAGATGTTTAAGTCCCAAAACAATGACAGAAGCCCCCAGTTGCAGCCACTGGACCAAACCTTACAGTAGGGACTTAAGCCGCAGCTGGAAGCAGTAGAGCACTCTCAGCTCTCACCAGGTCATCAAGATGTACCAAGAAGCTCTGTTCTCAGCTTCTCTTGCACAGAACCGATAAGCAATCTGCTCCTGTAATCACCTTCCATAACCACCCACTGGTCAATTAAAATTAATTGGCTTATTACTTGGATTTGTATATTTTGGTTGTGCTGTTGTCATTCAAAGTTCCTACAACCCTCCCCAGCTGTGGAATCAAGTGGATTTAGGTCTTGTCTGGGCCAGGACTGAGGGTGTAAGAAGCCAATGCAATCCAATTAGGGTATACGCAGCCCAGACTTCATTTATCTCTGCTCATTTATCCCCATGTCTGAACAGCCAGGAGATTTAACTGGTCACGAATCCTACAATGTTTGGGAGCAGCTGAACAATTAATCTATAGGGGTCTGTTCTGCTAAACATGAATAAAGCCAGGATTAGCAATCTGACTTAGATTTCTGAGGTCAGACTGGAGATGGCTGAAATCAGGGCTGCTCCCAAAAGGTCTGAGCTGCTTTGTTCAGTTAAGTCCTTTAAATAGCATGGACTTGCTGGAAAGATGCACACACCTGGGTGGTTCCTAATTTTCTTTACCTTGAGGCTTTGCAACAGAGGCTGCAAACAGCAGCTTCACAGAGTGAAAAAGTGACTTCAACCCTGCAGTTGTCTTTCCTCTCCTTCCTTGCTGAAATTCTAACCACAGGCAACTATGAGGGGACCCTGAAGCTCCCAGACCCTGGCAAAAAACTCCTTGACACATTATAAAACAGGCCAGACAAAAGTACTGACACTTTAGAGACACTACCAAAAGCCTGAAGTGGCTACTGTAATTTTCCCCTCTCCACACATTCCCCAGAGGAGGGGTACACTCCTTCCACACTGACTGGTACCTACCTTCTTCTTTACTGTCATTGCACTGCGCAAGTGAATGGCAAGCTGACGGATATAGATGAAGGCATGCTGGTAAGAGGTGTGGGTGTCCAGGGCATACATCTCTGTCAGTGTGCGCTGCATGAAGTTGATCATGGGCAGGACATTGGGAGAAGTGAATCTGGAATTCTTCACAAACGCTATGTACATTTGCTGTGCAAGAAAGAGGACACAACCACATAAAACAGAACAAAAATATTCTTCCACTAACCTTCCCCACCCAGGCTTGTCCAAACCAGGGGCAAAGCGTTCCTTTTATAAGACAAGTCACCTCAAAGAAATATGCAAAAATAATAATCCAGCCTGCTCCTTCTCCGGGGGAGACAGGAAAGAGCCTGTTTAGCACAGAGCTTGGAGATGCCCCTGCCATTGCTTCCCTGCAAGAAGAGAGAACTGTGGGATGGCTTTGAACCATACATGCTTATGGTTCGTCACAGTTGTCTTTCTGTAACACTAAGCAAACAACTTTGGAACCTCAGCTGTTAACTGAATGATCAGAGCAGCTCAGTAATACTCAGTATTGTGTCAGCACTTGAGGAAAGCCCTCAAGAATTTGGAAGATGAGTATTCATCCAGCAGACAGATGAGTACCAGAGGCCTTCCCTGCTAAGACCCTATGGGCCTCCAGCAAGAAAGGCAGTAGTAGGAAGCAGGATATCACTCTGACCTCATACAGAATCTCTTCCCCATTTAATTCTCTGGAGATAGCCAGCATCGTCTCCAGCACCTGCCCTACATAGCAGGCTCATGCTCTAAGTTCTTTGCATATAACATGAGAAAGAAAAGCTGCAGAGTACAGCATGTACCAGCCTTACCTTCAGCAAGGGACTTAGGTACACCTCTTTCTTGTAGCGGCAGATTTTGTTCAGCACAAGGAAGGCCAGTACTCTCACTGTTTCCTCACCCGTGCTCCACAAATTAATTGCTTGCTGGAACAGAAAATAAATATAAGGATAAGTGAAGTGACAAAGAGCCCCTTCCTGATTACACAAAGGCTTGAGCTTCCTTACTTCACAGCAAAAAAGCAAGCAAGGAGGAAGATGACACAAAGATGGCAGGCCGTACTATCATAGAATCAGTCACAACAGCACCGGCAGCCATTCTGTCCTCATACTCTAGCTGCAAGACCACACAAAGGGCAAGGTTGATGTTTCCACGATCAATAAGGGAAACTGTCCAAAACTAGCATCTCTGAAAAATATGTGCACTTTTATCCATGTGCCTAAATACACATCTGAGCTTCTGAGCACACGCACCAGTACTTGTGCATGCGACTCAACCTCCTAGGCTTTGCAAAGCTTCCTTACCATCCCCAGACAGCAACACCACACTAGATTACACACTTGGCCAATACATCTTCCAGCCCAACAAAAAAAGTAATTTTTATGCCTTACACTGAATTCTGCAGAATATAACTACACTGCAATTACATTCCCATTCTTGCCCTGAACACAAAAGTTCTAGTTTCTCAAAGAATCCTATTAAAGATGCATTTGTCTCTGGAGAGAGGGACTCCAGGGTTTGATTTCTGAATTTATCAATGTTCCTTCCCTCTGGGCAAATAGGCTGCAATTCTCCTCGTGGTAGTTCTGCCTTAATTCCAGTTCCCCGGACATTCACTGTATTAATTCAAACGATAGAGCAGCAGCAGGGTTTGGAGCCAGAGACAGGACCTGTGTAAAGCAGCACTTCTGCCCAGACATATCCTTAGTCACTCTGGCACAGACATGATGATGAGCACCCAGTGCATCATAAAAATACCTACACCAGCTGGAGAGGGGTAGGTTGGTCTGTGCAGGGGTCTGGGCTAACAGACAGCCCACCATTGCCACGTAAGCTCATCAGTCTGAGTTTTACCCATCCCTGCATTGCATAAAGCAACCATATTTTGGTCTCTTCCCTCAACTTCTTGAGAAGCAAATGAATAGGTTTTGTTCTTCCCAGGCCTGCCTGCATTTGCCTGTTCAGAGTATAGATTTACCTGGACATGGCTGGCCCTGTCAGGAAGCACCTGGTACAGCAGGGCCACAATCATGGCTGATGCCTCCAAAAACTAGTTCCCTTATCTCCATTAATGAACTCTAGAGGAAATCAGAAAGATTCCAACGGCAGGGCTGAAAAAGCCTGCTCAAAAACCCTGCTATAGCAGTGAGCAGACTGCTACACCTTCAGATATGAGGTGTAACAGCCTCCCATCACTGTGTACCAGTCATCTTTACCAAAGGGTTCCCAGCTTCATTTAAATGTTGTGTTGCAGCTTTTCATTTAAATGTCACCCTGCTGCACTCTTCCACGCCTTCTTTGTTGTTCTTAAGTGCTCAGCAGTTGTGACTAAGTTTCTGCAAAAATATTCCACCCCCAGTTCTTGAGAGTGAAATACTATCACGGACATACACACAGACTCAGCACACAGGCAGCAATTACTCCATCTGCCATGAGGAAGCAGACAGCTTCCCCAGAACATTTCTGTGTCACTTTGCATGGGGATTAGCAGTATCTACACGCAGAGCCACATGCCCACTCACCTCAGCGTGAGAGCGCTGAGGAGAGCCTTTAAGAGAAGCAGGAGTCCTTTCCAGGACCAAAAGAAAAACAAGGGAAGAGTACAACAGACTGAACTGTCATGGGATCCAGCCCAAAGATCACAAGAGGCTCATCTGAAGGGGTAAAGATGGTACCTCAGATCCAAATGACATATCATAGCACACCACCTTACCTTGAGAAGCGCACGGCACTGCTTTGGAAAGGACAAATAATAAGGCACTATGGAAATGACATGCTGAAGGACTGCTACACCAACTGAGGCTTCTGTTAAACAAGACAGGAGCTACGGAGGGAAAACAAAACACAAACCCGTTTAGTGTGTAGTCCTCATCACCTTCCTTTACCAAGCACCTGCATTTTACTATTTCCAAGTATTTCTGTGTTACCAAAGGACTGGAAGAGCAGCCTTCCCTAGGAAGAAGCTCAAACAAACCCCCAAAAGCTGTATCAGGAAAAGAACGACACATGGCGGGTTAAATAACTCCCCCAAAAGTGTAGCATCCTGGCAAATGCAAGCTCAGGCTACTGGACTTGGATGGCTAACAGCACCCAAGCTCATCACACAAAACCTCATTTGCATACACTGTAAAAGCTAAGCCTATATACAGTTTAAAACATCTTACAGACAGTGTGACACCAATGACTCTCTCATCTCACTAAAAATGGTCAAAGCACAATGAAGACACCTTCAGTCTACACAAGACTTGGAAACAGACCATGTGAGCTATCTGATGACTTACTGGATTTCACTAGGATTTCTTTGATGGGAAGTTGGAATACTGCTGGGTATCAAGAGGTTAACTCTAGCTGTAGGAAAAGGTTAGACAAACTATTTAAGAAACAACATCTTGGTATTTCCAGGTTGTTCAGCTCAGTTCACCTGGAGCCAAACCCAGAGACGTTTGCAATTTCTAATTTGAAGACAACGGTAAGCTCAAAGTCACTTCAATTTGAGAGAGGTTCTGCCTGATGCAGTGCCCCCTCTTCCCTGCAATCCCAGTTGCTGGAAGCAGAGGTATTTTTACTACTTTCAACTCTCCTTGCACCTCTGGACTGAGCAGGTCTCCTTCACAAAGTCCCTCGCACACCAAACGGAAAGGAGAAAATATTGTTCAGAAACCACTACGCCAAAAAAGCACTGTAGCAAAGCCTGGGACTGAAGGCTCTCAGTACAGGACAAGGGGTTACTTCAATGGGACTGCATTGCCAGCTTTTCCTTTTCTACTGCAATCTTAGTTCTGCTGCTGGCAAGAGGCACCACGACTTGAGGAAAAAAAGCTCTACTGATCTTTCTGCTAAGTCATTCTGCCAGCTTACAGCTAAGAGACATGAGCACTTTCTTTTTGTTTCCTTATATCCCCTTCCCTCAGCTTCTGAAGAATGAGTATTTCAGTGTTGTTTGCTTGTTTTTAATATTCCTATTTTGGGGATTCATGATGAAGCAACCAAAAAAAATTAACTGGGGGCAGGAATTTCCTTCAGAAATAATCCATGAATTGTCTCTGGAATACCAGACATCAGCAACTTTGGATGGATGGGATATCCTAGTGGGATAATCATACTTGGAGATGTCATATGCGAGGAGCAGAGGTTGTCAACATAACGACTTCTTAGTATTTACTACAAGAAGTGGCAAGACCATAGTGCCAACAATTGTATTAAGGCTACAGAATGCAGGAATACAGCACTGCAAACTACTTTGAAGACTACTAAATACTAATTTGTCAGACAAATTAAGACAGAAAGAACTGCTAGACTGTGAACCCAGCCCTTCGTTACAGGCTACCTATTCTGACCCAACCATCCTATGGATCTCCAAATTGTCAGTTAGACCAAGTACTTCCAAAACAAGACAGGGAACTGGGCAGATCCACAAGTCTGATGCCCAAGGCTCTGAGACTCAGTGAGATTCCTTCTGCTCACTGCAGTCTCAGCCAGTAAGTCTTATTTATTCTCCACTACAGAAGGCAGCGTAGAAACCAGTACCCAAAGTTCCCAGTATTGTGAAGGCCAGAAAGTCACCTTCAAACTGGAGTAATCATCTTTTCTGATAAAAAAAAAAAACCAAAAAAACCGCAAACATAAAAGCACCTGAGGCTACACTGCTACCTGCTTTGTTAATTATCTTTTTGATTGCTTGGCTCTCCTTTTAGCAATGTTGTTTACAGATGCAAAAGCCCATCTGCCTCATTCCAAAATACTCTGAACAAAAGCCCAGCAATGCACAGCCTGACCCCAGTAACACAAACGTGCTGAAATTTCTTACTTGTATAGTACAGCTGAGGTACACTTTTACATCCAGTCGCAGCTTGCTCCACAGTGGGCTGGTGGAGGGGAGAACCATTCTAGAAACGAGCAAGAGTTGGGTTTAGCTTTAAAAAAACCCCACCAAATAAATTACATTTCAGCAGCACAACGAACAGTGAGTTTAATTCCTCAATATTGCCAGTGAGTAAAGACAACTGCTTGCAAAGCAAGAAGTAAAAGTAGTTAACAATTTTATCATGGGTGAAAGGAAGTACTTCTACTCTGTAAAAACTGCCTGAAGAACAATATTAGAAAATTTAATCCAAAGAGCTCCCCAGATCTCTGGAAGTGTGATATAGGGAGCTGTGACAGCCAAAAAGCCTGGCGGAGATCCAAATCCCTCACAATGACGTTATCTTCTAGTCAGGCATTCTGCAGCCACTGCCTGACAACAGAGCAGGCTGGCTTGTAGTAAGAAAGTCTATTTTGGGGATCAAACTAGTCGTGAGACATTTGCTCAGTCTCTTCTAAACTTTTGACACTGCATTTGAAGTAGTGCCCCCAGGCCATCCCACAATTTAGACAGTCTGTACAGGTCAGGCCTGGCAGGGAAAGATGCTAGTATTTACTCAAAGAACTGAAATTTACTTCTCAGACTGGGTACCACTGTCAACAAGGATTCTAGAGTTTAGCTCAACCCTCCCCTCATCTGTGACAGGGAAATTAAAAATACCTGCCACAAAAATTACCCTGGAACCAAAAGCACTTCTGAAAGGCGTTCAATTCTCACTGTGCCCAACAATGGGAAAAACAAAGAGCTCAGACCATGAAGCAAGTAATAAAACTGTGTCCAGATGAAACTCCAGACACAACAGAGGTAAAAAGCTGTTGTGGATGCCTAGTAGGAAAACAGGCACAGGGGCTAAATAAGGCTGCTCCAGCTTGCAGAACATAGTGGGAACTTCACACCTTGTTTTATGAAACTGGGCTTATAGCATCCAGCTATGGCATTGGTTCATCCAGCAAGAGTTCAGACTGGTACTTACTCAGTTTCCAGCACCTTTTCCAATTGCTCCTGGGTAAGCTATGCTGATACCTATTCAATTATGGGCCCAGCCTGACTCTGAAATTGTTTGAGCACCAACCTACACAATACCCAGAGAATTCCCAGCTCCCCGGCAGCAGCTGAGATTTCAAAATTGTCATTCCTCCTCTCTAGTCAAATCAAATTGCATTGGCAAATGCAATACAGAGGTACCGGACCAATGCTGCCATTCTGGAAAAAAATTAATTGTACCATTCTTTACCCAGTTACATGCTTGTTTCCATTCCGTCTATGCTCTAACAGTGAACAGCTCAAACTCAAATGATCCAGCCCTCAGACCACCAGACTCTAGGGCCTAATACAGCTGCTAAAACCCTGGATTAACTGAAGTCACGTACTTGTGATACTCTGCCTACAAACAGGCAGAAGGCTTGGTCGCTTTCTCTGAAAACCAACTCACAATGCCTTAACAGTGCTCCTGAGTGAAGGCACATGCAATTCCAAATTCCTTCTATTGAAGCCACATGTCCGCTGCAAATGGCTGGAGTCTAATATTACAGAGGACGCAGTTCTGGGGTAGTAAGGAAAAACCTGGCTAAGATGACCGTGAGTATAATCAGGTAACTTTGCTAGTGTTTGGGCAGATCTGCCATCTTTTTCCAGCCTCACAGCCAGGTTGCGGTTCTGAAAAACCCCAACCAGCTTTCTCTCACCTGCAGTTCTCAAATCTCCTCAGACTTACTTTTGTTTGTTCTTTGGGGTTTTCAGAAGAAGCAGCTTCTGCAGGCAGCGGAAGAGGTCCCGGACACAGAAGGACACAAGGGCATTGAACACTGGTTAAAAAGAGTCAGTAAAGCATTTGTAAATGATTTTCCATATATTCCTGGTTTCTCAGCTAATCTGAAAAGAGCTCCCCAAGGAACTGAAGTCAGTGATTCCCATAGCAGAACTATTACCTTTCCACAAGCTTCCAGAAAACATCAGTCTGTCCTACCTTTGAATTTTTTACCTAACCAGCAAGATTACAACTGACAGCTTTCTGGCACAGGGGCCATCTCTGCTCTCCAAGTAAACAGCACAAAAGCAGCCTGACCCATGACAAAGAGTCTTTACTACCATCAATCTCCCCCAAACCATAACAAGAATTAAAGGTACTTTTTAATAAAGAAAGTATCTAGAATTCACATGTCTGTTTCTGTGACAACCTCTTACATTAAAGAATAAGGTTTTACCAAAAGCAATGAAAGACATGTAAAAAGTCCTATGCCAGGCAAGAAAGGACTAAGGAGAACATGTGAGTTTAAGTAGTCCCACCCCACAGTGCCAGTTCCAGATGGCACACAATAGCAAGCTGATAAAATACAGTGAGAAAGTACCTGCCAATTTAGTGGTAAAAGTAGGCAGGCTGCAGGTCACCTCCTCGGAGACACTAACAAAGATATTTCCCACTCAGCCACGCTGTTGCTGAGTCTGAAACAGGACTGTCTGCAAAACCTGGAGCTTCTGCAAAAGGGGACTAGGCTGGAGAGAGAGGTTGCATCTCATTTGTTCTACAGGCATGATAATCCTGTAGAGGAGGAGATCCAGACATGCAGTATTTTGAGAGGTCCCAGCTAGGGGAATTGTGAACTCAGTAATGCAACTGAAGTCTAAACTGTTGCGAGGTTATAGACTGCTATTTGGTAAGATGACTTAAAATAGTCTTGTAGGATTAGTTCTAAGAGGGATCAGCAAGAAGCCACAGCAAAAGTTGTCCCAAAAAAAAGTGCACTACAAGCATATAAACAGTACCTAGCTTCAGCTTCCCTCTAAGAAGTCCGTGGAATGAAGTGTGCTACTTTCCTCAGCAGTCTCCAAGCCCAGTGGCTCCAGGCGTGCACACAGAGGTACACTTATACACTGGGACACCAGAAGAGACACCACTGCACAGACTCACCACCAGGAAGAAGATAAGCTACTTAAGTGAAATGAAGCCTATGAAAGGGTAAGTTAACTCCAGCCAGTACTTATCCTTACTCTCTTCCATCAGCTAAACCTTCCCTATCAAAAGACTTCCCTTCTCTCACAGAATTACTATGGTGACCAACTCACCTGCAGCATCAGTGACTTGAAACTTGCTAGGATCAGCCCCACCATTATCTCCTTTGGTGGTTGCTACAGATGCTTTAAAGGCTTGAGTGATTTCATGGAAAAGTTTTGGTGTTAGCCTTCGCTGGGGAAAGAAGGAAAAGGATTGCTGAGGAGAAAAAGCAAGCAATATTCTGAAACTCTGAAGCACTTTACTGGGACAGGAGTATTGGAATTCATTGTAAGTCTGATTGCAAAAATAGCTCCATCCTACAACACAAAGGAAAAATGTCAAGACTGTTAATGAATGCTAGTGGCCTTCACTTGCTCTAAAATGGCCTTCTAGGGCTTTTAATTGGTTGGGGGTTGAGAAGCAATGAATCAGTTGCAAGCAACTGTCCAATTTGACCTTTCCCTCCCCCTCTTAGTAAGCAGCAGCAAGCCATTTCATCACTATTCAAAATGTGACTAAAAAAGTTCTTGGAGCTGCCAAAGGCACAATGAGGATGAAAAGCCAGAATTTAACCCTTCTGACCTCTTCTGAGCCACACAAGTTTCTCTAGCTTCTCCCTCAGATAGAGTGCAAGTATTTTAATCTTGCAGCCCCCAAAAAATTGCAAAGACAAATCACACTAAAGTAACAAGAGCTGTAGGAGTATGACCTTGTATGCAGGACATACATCTTCTCTGTAAATTTTTGTGAAAGATGAACAAATTGAAAGTTGGTCTTCTAGGGGCAGCGACACATGTGGAAGAGCATTTAAAGGGGAACACTCAAGTGCCTTGTATTCCAACTCCCTGCTCACCTCTGCAGCTTTTTTCCATTCTTCAACCATTTTCAAGCTCACAGGGATGAAACAAACTCTCTTCCGTTTGACTGTTTCATGTTCTTCTTCCTCATCTTCATCACTTGCTTCCTACAGAAGTCAGTACCAAGACTGAGAAAAGGCTTATACACCTCTTTTCTGGCCCCATCTCTTTTGCTGAGTAGCTACTGAAGAGGAAGGCAGGCAGGCAGCAGTGAATTTTATCAATGCTGTTATCAGCACTTTGTGTAAAGCAGTAATGAAACTATGGGTATTACAAATTCCAAAAAAGCTACTTAAGCCCTGCAGCTTTGCTACATAAATACAACATGCAATAACATAAAACATCAAGGAGAAAGGATATCACTTGAAGCAAAACAAACTCTCATTGCGCAAGGAGACACAAAACCAAAGCCACAGAGAAAATACACTCCCAGGCTCTGCTTTCAGTCTTTAGCAAACTCCTCATGCTCAGTTCAAATCCACAGCTGACTTCTTAATTACAAGCCTGCACACACCTGCAGATGATCATTGGGGAAGCTCCTCCCCAGCCATCTGTGCCACTACAAGCCCAAATATACTTGGGCCTTGCACTGAAACTCAAATACTTCACATGTAAGTAGTTGAAATCATTGATTTCAGCACTCCAAAACAAGGCCTAGTACCTCCAGTGTATCGGGTGGTATGTGCACCCCCTCCTCCTCGTCAGAACTGTCTGAAGCATCAAAATTCAGCAACGTGCGATCATTTTCTTCCAAAAACTTATAAAATTCAGGATCTTTGTCCTTCAGCCGGGAGAGCTGATCTTTATGTTCAGATGCCTTTCCCTTCTTCCTGGCAGGTAAGAATTAACATGCATTATTCATTGCTCAAGCCTCTGCTGATGCTGCAAGAAAAGCAAGCAACTTGCACTAAAGCATTTGCACTAAGGCACTAAAGCACACCTGGGGCTAATTTGAACAGCGATGCTTTAATCAGGGCTGTGGTATCCTGTTTAACACCTGCTTTAGAGGTCTAACAAAAGGTTATTTTTACTCAGGATAAAGAGGATATTTTCATTCAGCATTAAGACATCTTGATAGCAAACGATCAGATTGTATGGCGATACTGACCAGAGGTCATGAAAATATCTTGCAAAACCAAAAAAAAAATTAAATCTATTCCTCATTTCTCAGAACTACTCTTACAAACTTTTTTATAAAGAATACAGAAAGTTATACTGCCAGAAAAATCTAGCAAGGAAAGCTTGGTAAAATCTTATTTGGTACTAAAGAATAGCTTCTAATAGCAATTAGCAGTGCCTAAGAATTACTTCATCAATTTCTATCTGCAGATACTCCAATGTCTTTCAGCAAGCACAAATACACACAAACCGAGGAAAAACAAAGTAAGCATTGCCTGACTCTGATATACTCTATAAAAAGATTAAAAGCATACACAAGCTTTTCTCCACAGCAGTTACTGAATTGACATAGGTACCACCAAAAACCTGACTGTCCTGCACCCCGTAACCACACTACAGTCTTGAAGGCAGCCCTTTGAGGTTCCTCTGACCCAGCTCGTCCCAGAGCAAGCTCGCTCCACGACAGGCAGAGCCGCAAGGAAGCCCCGCGGTTACTTATAAAAGCAGGCAAAAGTCACAGAAACCCAACCAAGCCAGCGGCCAGCGAAGGCGCGCTGAGGTGGGCCAGGCCTCGCCCAAAGCGGGCGAGAGGCGAAGGGCAGGCCGCCCGGAGGGACCCGCCCGCCCGAGCACGACCAGCAGGGTCGG